CAGTTTTTACTTGGAAATATAGATGGCAATATATTTCTAAGTGAAACTAGCTCTTACCAGGATCTTACTGCATCAATATTGATCAGTACAGAAGTTGTAATAAATAAATGTAAAGGGATAGAACAACCTTTTGGGTTGCCATCTACAAAAAGCCACTTGGTTAGAGAAATCACCAGAATAGCTCATTGGACTTATACAGTTATAATGCAATATTAAAATAACTTTTCAATAGCCAGAATAATCGTATTCTATCACAATTTACAAAAGTCACAATTATTTATTTGTCAATTATTTTATTTGACTATCAATTATCCTTGTTATTTCTAAGTAGTCAGTTTAACTTTTAACTAATGTATGGAAGGATAACTTTATTTTCTCGCCATGAGTGATTCGTTAATAAGCCAATTATTAGGAGTTATGATTTATGTAATGACACGTCTTCAAAGGGCATATTTTTTCTATGGGAAAATCTACCTCATATAGCGCCGGCGCCTATTTATGGCCTCGTGATGAATTGCGATGCTCAAACGTCGGGGAAAAAATGAAATATATATATATATAAATATATATATATATAAATATATATATATATATATTTATTTATTTATTTTAGATATACAAATTTCACATATAAAAAATGACGAGTTGATTCATATGTTCTTCACAGTTGAAATCACTTTGCAAATTTTAAAAATTGCTTAAAAATAAATATAAATTTTATTTGAATAAGATTGTTTTACAAATACATTAACTAAAAATCTTTAAATGTTTTAATTTAAAATATGCTATTATTTTATATTTTATTCGGATTCATTTTTGATTGAATTGCGCTCTATCTAAAAGGTAATATTAAGAGCTAAAACTTTCAGAGAATTGTTTTTTATCAATTTGGAACCAGTTGATTTCTTGGGAGCAAGGAATTTCGAAAATGTCCATATTAAGGACCACCCTAATATATATATATTTTTTTTTTCCAAAATTCTCATATAACAGTTGCATTATCTATGGAAGCGTGCGACAGAAAGACCCAAGACTCGTGTCTAGACGTGACAAAAACCCCCACACGGAGAGGTCTCTATAAAGGCGCCGCTCTAGGGTCAAAATTTGACAAAACGTCAAAAACTTGTCTCTTTTTTTTCATGAAAGGTCATGTGTATTTTATTAGGAAATCGGTCGTGTCATATCCGTCGCGACTAATTTGCGTTGTCCGAGGACGACGGACGTTTTAAGTCGTCTTTAAGAGACCACTTAGGGGTAATAATGGTAATGGACCCAGAAACTGGTGCAAATTGATCTGTTGATAATGAATTACAAAACTTACAAATTTCAATGAGTATATTCGCAACTAATCGCTTCAACCCTCTTGCCTGGTATAATTTTGCTTCAATTATTATCTGGTATAATTTTGCTCTTAATCTCTATTTTTATTAATTATATTTATTAATTAATATGTTATAAAAAAAACTCTGAGGTATAGGTTTGATGTAAATTAATGCTTTTAATAGAATTTTAATAAGTTACAAAAAAATTTGTCATGACTATTTTTGCAACTAATCGCTTTACACGTTTTCATTAATTTTTGGAACACTCTCCTTAATTTTTGTGTGATTATAGATTATACGAAAATATGTAAAGTCTCTACTATTTTTTATAGTCATTTATTTTTTTTACAGGTTTTAATTAAAAAATCTCGCTTTCTGGTTAAAAAATCGTTCAGTAAAATATCTCATGCGTTTACAAACATTTATGTTAATTATCTTAATAGCAAACATATGTATGTGCACGTTGGAAAAATGTTTATAAAAAAGGCATTAAATATTTTTTTTCAAGTTTATAATTGAATGTATACGACAAAAATATAAACGGCACAATGTGTTCTTAGAAAACGAATACTTGCAATTAGATAAAAATATAAGAAATCCGTTATTAACACACTTTGTGCGGGCCGGGTAGTGGTACTCGATATTAGGACTGTCAGTTAATATTTGTTATTTTTTTTAATATTTATTATTTATTAATTTACTTTACAAATTTATAAGTGTCTTTAGTCCACAGATTGGCATTTAACATTTATTCGAATATCATAATTTATTTTTAGAAATAAGTTATTTATATAACTCAAAGTATTATCAATTATTCATAATACATAATTAGTTAATTTATAATTTATTTTTATTGAGTGTTTTGTTTTTAACTTTTCATTTAATTTCAGTTTCTTAAGAAGGTGACATATAAACAGGAATAAAATCCTTACAAAGGAATAAAAATTTAAAAAAGGATATAAATTTTAATAGTTATGTTCATGGGTTAGTAACAATAGAGCAGATATCTGGAAATGTTTAATAGTTTTTGGCAAGTAATTGAATTCAATAATAAATTTTATACTTGTTATAATTATTGATTGCATTATTTAATATAAAAACAGTATATAATCATTGCAAATCTTTATTTTTATAATTATTGAATTAACAAAAATATTTGTTATGTGATTACCTAAAACATTGTGGTTGTTCTGAAAGTTTGTTAACGAAAGAGTTATTTTTATTTAATTCTATTATTTTGCTTTGTGCTATTATTGATTTGCTTCTTTATCTTTCTCTATGCTAAAAATAAATAAGAGAAACCCTTAGTGTATATTTACCACTTGACCTGTTTTTTTTTATTAGGTCCACGTCGACGCCTGTCAAGATCTCTTCAAATAAACCGTAATAAAACGCAAGGTGCATCAAAGGAAAAAAATCGCCAGACGCATAAAACACCAGAAAATCCCGATTGCCAAAAAAAGGAACAAAAATGTACCGATTTAAAATAATCAAATTACATATTGTTCTACGTGTATACAGGTCGTTTAAAACGCAATGAAATTTTTACGACTTCCCTCTTTATAAGATTTATTACAGGTGAAAAAAATCTTTTTTTCAGACATGGCGCTTACGGTGTCAATATGGAAAAAGGAGACACATAAATTTTGTTAACGGCGGAACAAAGCTCTTTGAAAAAATCTTATCTTGCAAAATCGTTCTGGTTGATGTGCCGAAAATAAGGAGGTAAGACATAGGATTTAAGATTTATATTGCATGTAAATGATAATAATAGACATAATTAATTTCTTTAACTCCAATCGGTTATATCAAAATATTTTAAATAATTTTGTTGGATATACATTAAATGACACATTTAAGGTGTTGGTCAAGTCCAATTACTCATTCCCTATTCCACCCATACATACTAACTCCAATTTTGGGGTCAAACGATTCAGATAGGCTTGCAACGTCCATAAAACATAACGTTAGAAAATTGGCTTGGCTATAAAATAATAATGTACAAATTTGTATACAAATAATAATACCTTGGGGGGCGTCCATTAATCACGTGAGGTTTTTAGGGGGAGGGAGGGGGTATATTGAGATATCACGTGTATATATTTTTCAACTAATTTTTTAAAACAAATTCAAACATTTTTAAAAAAAAATTCAAAAATCGTACAGTTTTTTTCACGTAACTAAAAATACACGTGATGTTTGGTGGGGGAAGGGGGGGTAATTTTGAATATCACTATGGATCACCAAGGGGGGGGGTCCAAAAATCTTTAAAAACTTGCTCACGTGATTAATGGACGCCTCCTTGTGTGAGAGAAAACCTTCTACTTCCTACTCCTGTGGCAACATCACTCTCCTAATTTTACGACATGTGACTCAAAATTCAACCCCAAAAAAACAGAATACTAATCCCATTTTTTTCCCTAAACATTTTTCTATTTCTTACATATTTTATCGCGCGTCGAGCATCAAACGGTAGCCGTATAAAAATAAAAATCGTAGATAACGAGCTTGGTAATTGCATAAGATAAGAATTCTGAGGTCTCCGGGACCCTAGCAATCAGGAAGACTTGACAAATCAAATAAAAAATATGGTACGTGTGAGGCTTCTAGGCTTTCGTAGATAAATTTTTTAGATTTAGCCGAAAAATACGATGGCTTTTCGTGTAAGATGTCTGATGTAGGTTTTGGAAAGTATCAGATAGGACAAGAGGGTTGTAATACATTTTTCAAAAAAAAAAAAAAATACAAGACATATATTTTAATATAACATTTTAACTTTATACTTTATAATTTTTTTATACAAACCGCGGAATTTATAGTAATTCAATATTTTTTTATCATCTAAATTATTTTCAGAGAGTAGTAATTGTCCAAAACTAATAAAAATATTATGTTTAAAAATAATGCACACATTTTTTTATTTTTTTAAACTACTTTGATTTCAATATGTATATATATATATATATATAATTTTTTATATAATGCTAAATAAATAAATAAATAAAAAAAATAAAAATAAAAGAAATATATATGAAATTTTTCATACTTGTTGCAATTCCTTGCATAATACGCTTGTTTTTGGACCTCAAAATATATTATTTCTGTCCCGCATAATACGATTTCTAGCGAAAAATACATGTTTTGTCCGGTCTTTTGGAAGTCGTTTTAACGGGGTTTCTTATATGTTATTATATTTCATTTAAAACTTCCTTTTTTTTCTTCAAACAAATTTTTCTGTGTCTTTTCAAGTACTTAATAATCGTAGATCTAGCGATTAAAAATTACTCCATAAGTAAAACAACATGAAGACTGATTTTAAAATTGCTTTTAGGCCATTATCAATTTTTTAAGTGTCTGCATATATTTTTTCTCAAAGACAAGTAGTAGAATTGTGATTATTGAAATTAGTATTACAAGCTGTTTTATGTCTTAAAAGGGCTGATCTGATAAAGAAATAGACAAAAAATGCTTAAAAATACACATTGACTTCAAATAGATGATCTGGCGTTGTAAATTCAATAAACATTTTCTTAGGTATTTTTTTCAACTTTTGAATTTTCTTCAACCTGTTCAATTACCAATCTGTTATTGTACACCTGTCGAGGTGCAAAATAACAGGAGTAGGTGATATAATATTTATTGAATTTAATCCAATAAATGGAATAAAGCCTTTCTTACCTTCCACTCTTTGTGATGATCATTTCTGTGCCCACTTCGTGGAACTGCTTCCACAATTGACCATTCTGAAGGGTTACCTCGCAAGGTGCCGAAGAAATGTCACCTGGGGAAGAAATAATAATAGACATAGTAAAATAATTTATTAACTTCCCGTAGGGTAAGTTATAGTAATCGCAAAAAAATCGAAAATGAAATTTTTTATATATCTTTACGTTTCAGAGGTTTCTGAATATTTTGGCATACCCCAGAAAAAATGGATGTGTGTGTGTATGTATGTATGGATACAATTTTCCAGTCACGTTTTCGGGCGCACGGATCAACCGATTTAAATGGTTCAAAAAACATTTGCTTCCTATTGATAGGGAGATGTGCTGATTAGTTTTTGGCAAAGGCAGGTCTAGCAGTTACGGAGATAAAGAGCAAATAGTGCAGAAAATAGAAATCGAGTTTTTGAGAGAACGGAGCATCCGATTTGAATGATCTAAAAAACATTTGTAATGATTGGGAGAAGTGTTTATTAGTTTTTGGCAAAGACAGGCCCAGCCATTTCGAAGATATGCTAAATGTGCAAAAAATTGAAGTTTTTGAGAGAACTAAGCGTCCGATTTAAATGATTCAAAGAACTTTCTGCTTGTCTTAACAAAATTGATTTTGGAAAAAAACATTTTTTGTTTCAACTTTTTTCTCCATTTTTTTTTAAAGAAAAATTTTTTTGTATATCGAAAATAATTCAGATTTTATTTTTAATTTTGACTATAGTTCTAATATACTTCAAACAAATAATTATTAATATAAATACTTATTAATACTAGACAATGTTACAATATTAATAATAATCTATTTGAAAACATTCAATATTCCTCGAACATTTCGTTACGGTAACGGAAGTTCCAGCAATTTGCCTTAAGGCACGATGCCATCAGTTTTATTTGGTTTAAATTCATTTTAACTTAAACTGGCAAACTTAATTTTAAAACTATTTTTCCAAAATTTGATGTGAAGGCACTTTGAATAAGAGAGCAATGGGCTCGAGCTTTTGCTTCGAGCTTTTGCTTCGAGCTTTCTTTAGAGTAAAAACGACTACGTCAGGTGTATGATCATATAATTTTTATCCTTTATATTTTTCCAATTCGAGCAAAACTGTCGTCGTAAATTCCGTGTTTACAATCCCAGTTGTCTCTAGCACCAAACAATCGTTAAGTGATTAGTATAATCCAAATGGTGTGTACAATAATTACATTTTATTACTTTGCTCAACGGATTAAAATCGATGTATGGGTGTACATAATGCATAATACATAATACATGATATCTCAAGTGGGAAAAGAGAGTTGTTGATTCGTTTTTGAGTGTTTTTCGGTCCTAAGTACACAAAATTTTAGGCGCCCGCCAAAAATTCCCGAGTTGGCCGTCTGGCCGATAGTCGCCTTCATTTGTTGAATGTGATAAAAATTAGCTTTTGGATAGGTCTTTTTATATTTTATACCTACTGCTTTTATCTGGTTTTAGCGACACAATGGGGAAAATGGTAATTGTCACTTATAAAATAAATATAGTGGACCAACTATTTCGTAAAATATTAGCATAGCATTAACTAAAAATTTAATTTATTTTAAAATATTTATTGACCAGAATCAGGTGAATTAGGTTTGGCTGGGACAGTCCTGGATTTCCACCTTGTGTCCCGGGTTTTTCTAAAAGCAGTATTTATCCCGTATTCAAATTTTTTGTTCCGGATAGTCCTGGATTTTTGAAAAATATAAAGGCAGGTCCAGCCGTTTGGGAGATATAGAGCTACATGTGTGAAAAATTGACAGTTTTGGGGAGAACTAAGTATCCAATTTGAATGATTCAAAAAACTTTCTGCTTGTATTGACGAAACGATTGCTTTTGAGGAAAGAATTTTTTTAATTTTTTTTTAATGTTCACAAAAAACTTTTTATGGATATCGAAAAATAATTCGGATTTTAATTTTTAATTCTAACTAAAGTTCTAAACATCACTTATATAATCTATTAAAAACATTTAATATTTCTTGAATATTCCATTAAGGTATGGAGAGTTCCAGCAATTTGCCTTAAGGCACGATGCCATACACCACTAGTTTTGGATTTGGATTTGTAGTAGAAAAATGTATCTGATAGGAACTATAAGTCGCGTCATTATACATTTTATATGAAAATATTATGATAAAATATGCTTTGATTTTCTATAATCCTTAAAGTCATTTGACCAAAATAGTCAAAAATCGCTACGTATGAAATGACCCCCTAACCCGAGAACTTTTGATTTGGTTGTATATATGTATATATAATATTTTTTACGTTGTTTACAAAAAATATTTCATGTTTACCTTTTGCACGGAAGCTCTCAACTTCCCAATGACAAATATTCAACATCCATTCCATTCTAATAAACATTCTAATAAACAAATCTCAACTACTTGAATTTTTCTCAAACTTTTCATACTGCTGATGATAGATAAGTCGCATATGATAAAAACGGTTTTATATTTATAACAAGATTTGTCCTTTTCATGTTTAGTTTGTTATTTGCAGTAGCAAACGATCTGTCACATCAAAAACATCCCTTGTCGCTATTAAATAAATAGTAAATAAAATATCTCTGCCATCCACAAACAAACTTTGAGATTAGAGATAACATGTGGATTTGTTTGTTCTGCATATAAATGTAGAAATTTTGTAAAAATGGTAGAATAAATGATAAAGTAATAATAGTAATTACAAACTTACAGAAACTACAATTTATAGGTCGTAAGTTGCTTTCTGTAAATTGGAGCTTTTGGAAAGGTTGGCGTATCTATATTTGATATATTTTTGTTAATAGAATATCATTATCACCGAATGCACTAAAGGATTATTTTTACTTGAAATCCATATATTAGATCTATATTTTCAAATTAAAAAATATATAACTACTGTCCGAGGTAGTTAAGTGCAACAAGTCCAAAGCTTTTACCACTAGACCACGATAAGCTCTATATTGTGCTTTCAGTGCTAAAAATTTACAACTTCTTAAATAAATAACGTTGACATTAAAATTATTACTGATAACAATGCAAACCTAACAATTTTGCATTTATGCACTAACTTTGCTACAAAAGCTCCGAAAGCTCAATTTTCATTTTATTTTCATTTCTATTATTCAAAAATATATTTGCGCTTAATTTTTTTCCCTAAATTATTTACAATGATCTAAATCTCCCTTGTTCACCATTATCCTATTTTTGGAAATTCCGACATCCTTCTGAGGTCCCAAAATTTCGGAAAAACCCAAAAACGCACGAATTTCGGTTGTAATGTAAATATTGGCACGTTTCAAGTAGGATTTGAAATTTCCAGCATTATAAAATACTTGACTTTTAAATATTAGGATTTTCCAAGTTTTTACTTAGGAGAAAACAGTGACGTAGATATATGATAAGAAATAAAATTTATTATAATTGGAATGAAATAGAAGTAGTCATATAATGCTCTACAAATAAATGGATTAGAATGTGCAAATTAATCATATGTTTATCCTTATAAACATGACAATTATCATTATTTTTTATTTTTTAAGCTTTTAAATAAATGCAATATGATTGATTTTGACTTCACATTATTTATTTCTAAAATTTACGATAAATAGAATTTTAGTTGACAGTTCTTCTACTTTTGTGTCAATTGATGTAAAGTAAAAAAAATAATAAAAAATCAAATTAATAAAATTTTAGAACATATCAATATGATATTAATTGTTGAAAATAGAATATATAGAGAAATTTATAGGTACAGTTACCAAATCTTTCATATTTCTCAAATTTAACGTTATATCTGTTTTTTTTAGTGCGAGATTTTGTATTTAGTTAAAAAAACTTGCAATAATATTTTAGACAAATTTTTAGATTTTTGCGATTTTTTTTATCTTGTATTGCATTTATACGTAGTAATTTGAATTAAAATACTCAATTAATAACTTTAACTGAATAATTTAACTAATAGTTACGATCAAAACATGCTAAGTTATATTATTAATTTAATATTAAAATTTTAAAATATTAACATTAAAAATTTAGTTTTTTTATCCAATTTGAGCGCATCTATTTATTGGCCTTAAATTAAATTAAATTTATTTACAGTCATTTAAATTAAAAAAATACAAGTTAGTATCAAAACATTAACCAAAATATAATATTAATTTATTATTAAAATAAAAAAATTAAAATTAAAATTATAAATTAATTTCTAACTTCCGATCATACAAATAAAATCATTATCAAGAAATAAATTGGAAACATTTTACTGTGAATTGGGAAATTAATGCTAAAATTTAAGTATAGAAATATAGGTACACTAATTTCTAACCATAAAAATTAACTAATTAACAAAAAATAAATAAAAAAGTTTTACTTCAGATTTGGCAATTAATGCTAAAATTTAAGTTTAGAAAAATAGGCCTATAAATTGAATATAGATCTAATAATTAATTAAAAAATTAATTACAAATTATATATTATTAAATTATATATTTTTACCTTGGGGTGGTATCATATTTCCTTGCATCATCATCTGGTGCTGTTGATACATATCGTGCACTGAACTCATTTTCACACCAAACTCAAAATATCAAAAAAATCACCAAAATTAACTCCAAAAAATGTCCAAATTAGCAAAAATCAAAAGTCAATTTCCCTTTATCACTTTAATCTTACTGACTGACGTTACTGAATAACCGATTGCGTTATACTGAGAAAAGTAACAAGTTGGACAAAGAAGGTGTCTCATTTTTCGGGGGCGAATTTTGGTAAAAGTTGTCTATCCTTTTCTTTCTTTCTAATTTTAGTTGCGTCTGCTCTCTTCTTTAGGACCTACCACACTATCATACACTTTGAGCCTCTTCTGTTATTGGTGAAGAATTTTCGGGTATGTTTAGTTTATTGGCTTGCTAGAATTTTTTTCTTGAAAAGGAATACTTTTAAAGCCGCAAGATCTTTATCGCGATGACGGCAAAGTTTATAGAAAATCTGTTTTTTTTGGGTTGAATTATGTTTATTGATGATCGAATTTACAAATGGTTCTTTTGTGTTTAATCATATGGTAAAACATACTATACAAAGGAAAATACTATATAATTTGCAATTATAATTTCTGATTCCTTATAACTGAATTACTTTATCCACCTGCAGTGAATATTTCCTAAATTAAGTACAGTAATGAATTTTGATTTGCAATTTTCCTTCATTGGTTTCTCTATACATTTGTTTTTACAATTTAGTGAAATACTTTATAATTAAGTATTTCAATAAATAATTCTAAAAAAATTAAACAAATTAATCTTCAATAAATTAATCCATTTTATCCACCTGTAGTGAATATTCACTAGATTAATATTCTAATTAAATTTAATGTTGATTTACTTTTTTTTCCATTAGTTTCTTTACACAAATTTCATTTATTGGAAATAATTATTTAAATATTGGTGTAAATAATGAGCTTCTCATAAATTAAATTTTATACGTTTTTTAACAATAATTCTAAAATTAATAATAACATATTAGGACAATTTATAATATTTTTATAAGGAAATATTTTTAGAACATAATTAGTTTTTTATAATACAGCTTCTATAAATAATTAAATCAATAATTATACATTTTCAAAATTATTAATTACTTTCATTATAGTTCATTATTAAGTGGTCATTTATTTAATATTTTAGTTAGAAAATTGTGTATTAATGAATGATTCTAACAAAAATTTCATTATATTTTTGATTGCAATTTATCCTAAATTTTTGACTTCTAAAAAATATTTAATATTTAATTAATTTTTATTTATACTTATAAATTTTATGATGATTGAATAAATTTTGGTAATATTAAAAATACTTTAAGAGTTAGTATTATTATCAAAAAAATATTTTAATAAACAAGTGAGCAACATATTGCGATGCAAATTGAAAGTCTTTACTATATGATTATATATTAAAAAAATAAAAATAAAAATTATGATTATTACTAAAATATTGTTTTAAACAAGCAAGTGAGTAGTATATTGTGGAACAAATTAGGTTTCTGTGAAATATTTATATATTAAAAAAAATTGAACTCATTTAATCAAGATCATTGGTGAGAGACCAACATATTATAATGCAAATTAAAAATCTTTGTAAAATATTCATACATTAGAAAAAAATTACATATTTAAATAAAATATAATGAATTAAAATTTATTGCTTATATCTAAATGGTCAATAATAATAAATGAATACAATTATTTCATCATTATAACTACTATGCATTCGTGTATGACTTTATTTATTTATTTTATTTTATTTTATTTTTTATTATTTTACTATATATATTTACTTGTCAAGTGCTTATATTAATCCCGTTAAGACAATTATTTCTAAAATAATTTTTTGCTTAATACGCCACTTCACACAAGTCTCTGCACAACTTATGCAGTTAATTCAATTATTCTGGTTATAATTACAGACATTAAGAAATACATTAAATTTTGTGTTGTCGACTTTTAAAATATAAGTACAATACATTAAATTTGTCAATTGCATTATATTGTGTATATATTATACATGATTGTCTCTACATAATATTTTAATACATCATAAAAAATAAATTTCATCGGCTTTTTCTTTCAGACAGTCCCTGGCTGGATTAAGGACTACGACAGAAGCCGACTCATGTCTGGTGTCTCGTTAAATGATTATTGGCTGCGACTGTGTGACTGTTATTATTACCGAAACCGAATTAGGATACTTTGGCCCACTCCCGAAAATATGATTTTCTGATAGCACCGGGAGCTACTGATAGGCGCCAACTCCTACACTCCACTCACACATGTAAGTAAACGAAATATATCTGTTTTTTTATTGAAATATACATATTTGGTTTTTTATTCTAAGATAATTCCTTTTTTTAAATCAATTACTAAACTATATATATACAATGATTGAGATCTTCTTTAAAAAAATTTTTAAAAAATTGTACTCTTGAATTTCATACACTGATTGACTTCTATATGAAAAATAATAAAAATATCTAATATTTTAGTAATAATTATACATAACTATTATAAACTTTAAAAAATTTACCTACCACAAAATTAATACTTTAAGACAGATATATCCATATATGATGCAAATTTGAGTAATTCTTTAAGCAAATTAGCTGGAAAGCTTTTCTTAAATAATTTATTATATTTTAGATATATTTTTTGAAAAGTATTTTTTTTTATTATCATCATTTTGGTTTTGGATAGTAAAATCATCAATAGTTAGAAACCTAATTTAGCAGTTTGATAAATTGGGACACCAAATATTGCCAATATCGGTAAGAAATTCAGAAAGTCCTGGAAATTGTAAATAAAATTGATAGCTATTTAAAACAAAGCATTTTTAATTTTAGATGCCTTTGACAACAGAAATTATTGTTATGACTACATTTGCCAATGCGGGTAAATCTCTATAATATCTCAAAAATCTTTTTTTATTTTTTTTATGTACTACCTCCCAGAGTAGCTAGGTTTAAAAATAAATAATTTCTTTTGGTGATATTAATGGACCTTCAACTGATCATACAATATTATGTAAAATCAAGATTTAAAGTACAAATTTGAAAATCATGCAAACAATAAATACTTTCATGAATAAATCCATGATTGACCATGTGTTTTTTGTAGACCTAGTTTATTGTATCCATTCAACAAAAACCCTGGTTTCATTGTTTGAGCTTTTCTACCAAAAAGTTTGAGAACCTGCATCTCTTTCTGTTCCTTGCTCAAATATTCAAATAGTTCCTATCCCAATTGTCCAAGGCGCCAATTTGTCGCATGTCTCAAGTACGTATTGGATATTTGGATAATTTAAGGCATTTCTGGTAATGCCCAGTAAGAAAATTAAGCCTGCTTACATGCGGTATGGATTACTAATCCTCCTTGGACGGCTGCCGGATTGAAATTGTCACTGCTCACATCTTTTTGGGAAATTTACACACGAGGTAATGGGTAATGACATTCATTAAAATTAACAAATTTTGCTAATCTTTTAATCAGACTCAGATAAATGTTTAGATGATTAGGAATAAGAGCGTAAATGGATGTTTGGAACCTAGAACATTATAATTAATTTGGGCATCCTATGTTTATTTAGCTCCAAGATATAAATTACTAATAAAATCATTTACTGCTCACAAAAGGACTTTGTGAATTTTGCATCCGAGGTAATGGCATTCATTAAAATTAACAAATTTTGCTAATCTTTTAATCAGGCTCGGATAAATTGTTAGATGATTAAGAATACGAGCGTAAATGGATGTTTTGAACCTAGAACATTATAATTAATTTGAACATTCTTTGTTTATTTAGCTTCAATTACTGTTAGATATAAATTACTGATAAAATCATTTACTGCTCAGATCTTTGTGAATTTTACATCCGAAGTACTATGACATTCATTAAAATTTGTTATAGATAAGCCTTCAAATACATTTTTAATTTCCCGTAGGGTAAGTTATTGTAATGGACCGAAAATCGAAATTGAAAATTCTTATAACTATTAGAAAATGTTACAGTTTTTATAATAATCTATTTGAGAACATTTGATATTCCTCAAACATTTCGTTACGGTACGGGAAGTTCCAGCAATTTGCCTTAAGGCACGATGTCACCCACTAGTTAGATAATAAGGAACAAAAGCGTAAAAATCTGTTTTAATTATTTTATTATTGCATTATTAAAAAAAACTTCAAAATACTAAAGCACATTTAAAAATATATTTATAAAATTTCTCTAAAAAGCTTGTTATAGCCAATAAAATACAAATTAAAATTTGAATCTAGTACATTAAAAACATTTTATATAAAAATTAAAAATATTTTTTCTAATCTATTATTTTTTAACAATCGAAACCCAATGATATAGAGGCACTTATGTCGATTTCCAAATCTTTTTGCTGATGGTGGTGGTTGTGTTTCGAAATTGGTACTTTTGGTTTTTTCTTCTCTTTCTGAAATGTATAATATTTATTGGATAATAGTATTATTCTAATAAATATATTAATTTTTGAACCACAATTGAATCATATTTTAACATCATGTACTGAAAATTTAAATTGTCATTCAATTTGTTAACTTCTTCTTCTTTAATTTTAATATTATTTTTATAAAAAAAATAATTTCATAGTTATATTTTAATAATTTATAGTCTAATATATAATTGTATTGACTATAATGTTTGAATATTGCAGCAAAATATTAATTTCACATCCATCTATCTCCTTCTTGGAGTCATTTGACCCAAGATGGTAAAAAATCTTGGCGCGTCGAATGACCCACTAATTCGAGAATTGTGGCACCAGTTTTTGAGTGTGTGGCGGGTCTGTTGACATATTAGTTTGGCGACAATTTGCACTTGAATTTTATTATCCACAAATTATGAGGTCTGAACTAAGTTTTTTTTATAAACGAAGACTTTTGTCGTGGAAGGAAATATACTCGTATTGACAGATTTATGGGGATACAGTAGAAGGGATTAGTATAATAATAACATTGAAATAATATAAACATGGACGTTGTGATGAAGTAGAT